AGACATTTAAGACAAAGATAGATAGGTTCTTGATTGTCAAGGGGATCAAGGGTTACAGGCAGAAAATGGGAGAATGGGGTTGAGAAACTTATCAGCCAAGATTGAACGGCAGAGCAGACTCAATGGGCCGAATGACCTAACTTCTGCCCATGTGCGCTATGGTCTTGTAACTGGTGCTTGGTACTGAGATACTTCAAAAGAAACAATTATGAAAAATCAGCTGTGTCAGGAACGAAATATTGTAAATCTTCTTTTTGCTTTAGGTTTTGAGTACCACTGTGGAATTCCATAAACCAACAGGGAGAACACCACTTAGAAGCACTCATTCAGAATTGTAAAAATATATACAAAATAATACAATATTGCATGGATTGAGGTGTTAGTTACAATGCCTACTTTACATAAAGCTGCTTGTAACAGCAGGGATATATAGTTGTATTCATTGTGGAACTTTAATGTTGAACCTTGCTCTAGTGGTCAACACATAATCCAAGGCCATGTGTCAGTGCAATGTTTGAGATGCGCATTTGTGGGATACATCCCATATTCTATTTTACATTCCCTTCACCAAATCCCATCAAGAAGCAGGCCAGCTGGTGACAAAATCTCTGCTGTTTGTGGGATCTTTCTGTTGGCAATCCTACTTGCACAGAACAGTGACCGTGTAGGAAATATTGTGCATTGTTGCAAAGCATTTGTATATTCTGAGAACATGATAAAGTACTGCATAGATGAAAAGAAGAAGAAAAAGTGCATGCAACCCAAGATTTACCACGTTTGGAGATATTCCTGGATGTTTAACAGTCACAGCACAGTCTTCCTTCAGAGTTTGATTACACAAATCTAACTTGTAATCAAACAGCTCCTTCAATCCAGGAACCTTGCTTTTATTTAGAGCATGCAAAATCTGAAACGTATGCCTACTACTAAACTTCATTGATCAACAAAATCAGAAATGGAATATTGGAAGTATGCAGAAAACGGCAGATGATAAAATCCTGGAAACACTCAGCAGGTCACTCATCATTCCTGGAGAAAGAAAGATACAATGTTTCAGGTCAGTAAAGCTTCAAGCAAATTTTTTTTTTGATTTGTTTCTATTTCAGATTTCCAGCTTCTGCAGCATTTTTGATTTGTTGAGGCAAGTTACGTTACATGCACGTTCTCTTCCCTGGATTGCTGTGGACTTGCAGCATTTTGTAAAAGCTTCAGGGACACACACTATGTGCCGTAAAATGGAATGTTCTTCTGTAATCATTTTTTCCACATTTCCTAACTATTCTTAATATCTGAAGGAGAGGAATATGCAGGGATGTGGGGTGGGGAGGGGAGGGGAGTGGCACAAGGTGAATTCCCCTTAAAACAGCAGAACAGACATTATGGGGAAAATGTCCTTTTGTTGTATTCCAGTTTCCTCTTTTCTTAACCTGTTAAATCTCCCTAACTCTTTAAAAGATGATTGTGAACAAGCTTTCACAAGAGTTTCACAGGAAAATATGCAAGCTGTAAAACCCATGAGACCGAGCAATCTGCAACTCAATGGGGATTAAATGATTGCTGTGAAGTCCAGTTCAAAACACCAGCCTGTACACATTGATTAATCAAATGTACAGCAAGGCATTATAACTATTACTAGATATTCAGACTGCTTTTAATCAGTATAAAACACATTTTTTCCAGCAACAGTCATCAGTTTAGCAGTGTCAATATAGCATTGAAAAGTTATTGCGGAGATTTGAGATTTCCTAAATCCCTCTGGAGCCCCGCCTTAGAATCACTAACCCTGTCATCCACAATTCAAAATCCAGCCCAGGTCCATAAATCCAACTTGGTAAATAAAAGTGTGATACTACTGAATAACAGATGAGGAAAGTGCCAGCAGTTATCCCAATGGGTGCGGCATTAGGCCAGCTAGGTTATTTGGTGATGGCCTCAATGGGGAGATATGATTAACCCAGTAAGAATTGCATAACGTGGGCAGGAGCTCCAACTTATGTAAATAAGATGGAGATCTACCAGACTTCATGGAATCATAAACTAGCTTAATAGCAGTTTTCTAGACAGGAAAGGTAGGGTGTCCAAGATCAAAGGGAACATTGACAAAGAACATACACCCCTGACAAAACAATGAGGAGGACAGCAGTAAACTACAGGAGGACACAGATTGAATGAAGTGGGAATACAGATGGTAGGTGACATTTCATGCATAGAAGTGTTCAATGATACATTTGGAAGGAAGACAAGTGATATTAAACAAAATGGAACAGTTTATAATGGAGTCCTGAAAGAGAATGAGAGTTTCACATGGGCAAATATTTGTGAAGTTCAGTAGGTTGTTAAAAATGCCAATGGGGTTTTGGGCTTTATAATGACAGGCACAGGACACCAAATCTGGGCACTGTGCTCTAGCAAGGACAAAGCCTTACAGGGTGCAGGTAAGATTCACTACAATAGTACCAGGGAAGAAGGGATAGTTATGTGGAGAAACTGTGCCTGTCCTTAGAAGAAACTTGGACAAAAGAATATTAAATGTGTGCTTAAAATGAGACAGGATCTATTTATGGAGTTGAGTTTCTAGAGATCACAGGTTTAAGGTAATTGATTAAAGGTAAGAAGTGAGCAGAGAATTTCTTACAAATAAACACAGTATGTTATGGTGCCCTGATAACATGCAGCCTGAAAGAATGGGTAAAACAGATTCAATAGAAACTTTCAAAAGGGACTAGATAAATATTAGAAAGTGAAATAAGTGCTCGGTTGTGGAGAAAGAGCAGAGGAGTAAGGCTAATTGGACGGTCCTTTCAAAAGATCTTGCACAAGGATGATGGTATAAATAACCTCCTTCAGTCTAATATGATTCTATGTTGTTTAAAGAAAAAAAAGAGAGAAGATCACTTCAATCCATTTGCATACATCTCTTTCAAAGCTCAGTTCCCAAGGCAATAGGCTGGATTCTATACTTCCTACCAAAGACAACGTATGCCAATTGGTGGAAAGTGAAAACCAATTTAAAACTTGGAAAAATTCATATTAAAATTGTCAATAGTGAAATGGTCTAGGTTCCATCAAGTTTTGCTTAAAATTATAGATCAGATTGTAAAGCAGCTATAAATGTTCACACAAAATAGAACATTCCAGTGGTAAAACACTTGCTCATCTCAAATGATAAAAATACTCAATAGCAATTACAATTTATCCAAATAAAGTGCTTGTACAGTAAGACCTAAACTAAGACATGATTCACTGAGGAGCAACTGTTCCAGAGCAGCATCTCCAGGTGTGAACCCGGTTTCTTTTCTGGCTTTTTCTCCCATTAATAAAACATTCATTTATCCCAATAATAATTTACAACTGAAATTGTACTTTAGATTCTTAAAATAAATTACAAATCAGTCTTCATTCCCTGATCCCTAGATTTAGACACAGATCCATCAGAGTAAATACTTTATTTCTTTGAAAATTGGGACAGCTGTCTAGACTTAAAAGTGTTGAATAATGGCTTAAAATTTGCAGCACAGAAACAGCCATTTGGCTTCACTGATCTAAATAAGTGGTCATGCTCCATAAGTTCCATTTACTATTACCAAAAGTTATTTCCTTTTCCTTCTCATGTACCTATCAATACTTCCCTGTAAATGCATCTATACTGTATTCATTTCATCTCAAGTAATCCACATGATAGTACATTTCACATTCCCACTACCCTCTGGATGAAAGCAGGTAGAAGTTATAATGCACACCTTGCCTAGCAAAAGAAATTGGAAATACTGAAAAGTAACTTCCTTTCTCCACCTCAATTTTCTTCCAATCTCTCCCGAAAACTCCTTGCTGGATCAAAGATCCACATCTCACTCAGGTGATTACTTTTTAATTGAAGACCAGATATCGAGTTAGCAGACTGGCTCAGCATGAAATGGATCATATTGAACCTCCAGTATTGTCTTTACTGGACTATGAACCAGCAGCATGTCAGTGAACAGCAGACACTTTGTCCAGGATTTTTGAAATCAAGTGCAGAACCCTCCCTTCAGTCTTCTACAAAATCATCTAATGCTATGAATTGGAAATCTAGCCTGGGACATTACTGCCTGTAGGGCTCAGTGCCTCACAATGAATTTATCCATTTAAGTTCCAGTTGATTGTGCCCATCCACTCTTAGTTTGAACTGCAATGATTTTAGTCACACAGAAGATTTACAGCCCCCCCACACTCCAAGAAAAACACCTTACATCCAAAAGTACCCAAGCCACTCAAGTCAGGAAGGTTTCAGCACAGGGCTTTGTTCCTGGGTTGTTGCAAATCTTAAAATTAGATTCAGGCTGTTGAGGAGAGGAATTAGGAAGGTTTTGTTTCCCCCACTCGAGGGGTAGTATAAATCCAGAATTTCCTGAAACAATAGAATTTACAAGACCAGATTTTTTTTGATTGGGTAATGTAATCAAGATTCTAAAGCAAAGGCAAACAAATAGATTGGAGCTGATCAGCCATGATTTCTCAAAATATTAGAAGAGACTTGATGGCCTAAATGACCTTATCCTATGCCTAAATGTTCTTAATGCCTTGGTGTTTCATAAGGAGCAGAATAACAGTCAGCTAGCACTCCTACAGCTGATGTTGGAAAGGGAGTTTCAGGATTGTCTGTTAAGCTCCCAGAGTCAAATTGCCTATTGGCACTCACTAATATAGCCTCCTCAAATGGAGAATGGTCCTTTGATCTGCATAGAACAACGACTCAAGTGCAGAACCTCAAAAGAGGTGGCAAGAAAATCCGATAACGACTTCCAATGTTGGAGCAATCCCTGAAAAAAATGAAAAATAAAATCACTCCAAATGATAAGGAGTGACCTTTATTTTTATGAGAAGATTTTGTTTCATCTAATCAACATATTCTAAACCAGCAACCATCACATATACCTGAGACATTTAGCTGCTGGCCCCAGGCCCTTTCAAAAACCAATGTTGCATTAGAAGGAAGTATGCAGTCAAAAGTAAAGGCAGGCTTTCAGTACAAAATTTAAGGAAGTCTTTCACTTAAGATGCATCTTACTGTAATTTAAATGTGTACAATGCTTAACTTCTTAAAAATATTGTTCACTTTGTGGTCAGCTGAGCAAGAAATGCTTCAGAATGCAGGGAATTTTACATTGCAACTCAGTTTCTTCTATGGTCAAGTCACTGAGTTTCCCCAGACAACTGTCCCACAAAAGCATTTTTTGAGAAATGTTTCAGCTCCAGTTGTTCTAGGCTTCAATAAAAAAACTATACTCCTACATTGACTGCACAGCAGTAACAAAAGAACATCAAGAATAATCAATTTTATGTGGAAAATGTAATATTACAGCAGTATACAGCAGAGCAAATATTTGCAGGTCTTGCTCTGAAACTGTGCACACTTTTAAATATAGAACTTTTTTAAAAAATATCGAAGCACAAGATTCCTACCAAATGGCAGAAAAACAGATGTACTCTCTGCCATATGGCTGATCTTGGTTTCAACTTTTAGTCATAATAAACTTTACAACGACCCCTAGACCTCAAAAGTTGATTGTATAAAAAAAAAATTCCTAAAGACAACTTTGAAGTTCAAAGTCACTCTAACTTCATCTCCAGGGGCTGTATGGCTCTCTTGTTGAGAATCTTCAGTTCTTGAAACGCGTTTGCTCACAGATGTGGTTAAATTTCCTGGAAGAAAGAAAGTTAGTAGCAAGATTTCCTTCATTTGACTTACTTCAAAACACCCTTTTCATTCTCAAAACTAATTCCAATTTATGATACAAGAATTGATCCATATGTACGAGTCCTGTGCAACCTTGTATTTGATTGATGCAAGTAACAACTTGCATCTGTAGTGTCTTTAATGATTTACAATGTTCTAAGGCATTGCATCAAACAACATTTAACAGTTAGCCGCAAAGAGAGGCTATAGGACAGGAGACTAAAAGCTTGGTCAAAAGTGTTTTAAGAAGTGTCTTAAAGGAGGAGAGAGGTGAAGAGATTTAAAGAAAACAATCACACAGTTTGGGTTTTAGGCACAGCAGTCAACGATGGTATGAAGAAAACTGGAAGTGCATAAAAGGCCAGTTGGGATATTTAGGGTTAAACAGTAAAATACAACCAAATAGTCTATTAAAAGAAATTCTTGGCTTCAACTGGAAGGACTGAGAATTCACACATCAGTTGCCAATTTGAAACATTAGAGAAGCCAACAGTTTTCAGATTAGTCTCAGATGAAACATTAGCATTTATTGCTGTTTCAAATTTAGTTTTTAAATAATCATCCCTCAGCAATGAGGGCATTTGGATCATTCTCTGCAGCAAATCCATATTTGACCAGACATTTGCTCTGGTTTGGTGAAACTCTGAGGCCCTAAAACAGAGGACCTTCACAGCTACAAACAGCTTCCCTGAAGTCAGTATCTTTATGCTGATTAGAAACATGTTCTCAAAACAAACAGCCTTTTTATAAAATATTGACTGGTACATGGCACAATCACCATTTGGGAATAACACATACTGCTGACTTATGTGTAATGCCACTGGGCATTTACTAACTTGTAACCCTGGTTCTAAGTAAGTGACAAATTTCCAGTGATTTTTTTTGTTTCAACAGTACCTCTTGATTCCAATTCCATGAAATTTCCTTTCTGTCCCTCTGATAACATTTCTATCCTATCCCTCAGATTTCAACTCTTCCCACGGTATTTTCTCTCTCGATCTCCATTCCCTATTAACTAAACCTTTCCCCCCGGCCCTTCCCCTTTATTCTGAGCAGCATTTCATCTCCATTCATTCCATCTTTCATTCTCACATGATGTCTCCTTGCCTCCTTCACTCATCTTCCCAAATCTCACTACACCTTCTGCACTCTCCTCCCTCCTATTCTAGCTCTCAAGTCCCTCTTCCCATCTTACGCCTTTCACTCTGCTCCACATCACAAGCAGTCTCCTCCCTCCCCAATGTCATCTCCTCCCCATACCCTGTGTCATCACCACCTCTCTATCATCATCAAGAACCAACAAACAAGGCAAGGGAATGCGAAGTGGCAAGGACTAGAGGCCAGTAAGCAAGGCCAGGAGATGGTAAGAGAGAGAACCCAGTTATCGAGGCAGTGAAAGAGAGAGCTGAAGGCCATTGGGCAAGTTGCATATTCCAGGCTCTACCCACCAAATCAACACACTGATTAATCAGAAAATGCAGACAGTCACAACTGGCACAGTTACAGATTATTAATCAGCAGTAGCAAAATCACTGATTTCTAGGTAGAGATTAATAGAAACATACAAAATATTCAAAACTTTCTCAATACTAGAGAAATAATTAACCTGCATTTGATACTTACATAGCATGATGCGCTTTAACCTGGGTGCGACAGTTCCTGCCCCAGTAGCAATCTGGGCGTGCAGTTACAGATCCTACAAGATGAATTAATTGTAATTTAGAAGAGCAATTTTTAGAGAAGAGAAGAGACAAGATTATTCTGAATAGCTCTACAATCGGTAAAATCCACAGGATAAAACAGAATGCGATAAAGTCAGGCCTATGCAAGTGTCCTGTTGAAAACCAGTGCATAACTAAGACAGTGCTTTTAAATATACACATGCAGTCAAATAAGATACCATACAATCTACACCCAACTTAGGGGTGTACGTTTATATCTCTTTACCAAGTGCTCTTTTGTCAGATGAGCATAGATATTTATACCTGTTAAATTGTCACTCCATCCAGCAGAATTTAGTTGCTTTGTCCAGCAGACAAAAATGCCAAATTTCAAAAGGGAACAAAAATTTATGCTGCATGAGAAAAGTGTGCTGATCGATTAGCAAAATAACTATGATTGGTTGAGATATTGTCATGGGGAATACATTAGGGAATTATTGCTTCCCACTCTTTTCGTTTTTTTAAAAAAAAAAGCACAATACCTGGACATGTTGCTTTTTCCTGAAGAGGAGCGGTTCAAGTATGAATACATGTAGCTTCTAGCAAGTGTTTAAAGTGAGTCATGTTGCGAGCCCAGCGACTAAACAATTTAAGATTATCAATTGACTTTGCAATGTGACTCACTTATGCCTGCTAAAAGCCACATGGATTCATATGTAGCAAATTGAAAATGGAATATATTTGGGCAGTGAGCTTTATTCTATGTGTAATGTTGAAAATTTTGAAAAAAGTGTGCTCATTTGATTCAACCTAATCCAAAAAACTAAAATTAGGATTCACGTTCTAAGAAATGTGGTTGAAAATAAATTCCATTTTGAAAAATAATTTACTTAGAAAAATATTGTCTGATTTGCCACACACTTCCTAAAGATGCTTAGGAATCAGATTTTTGGAAGAGATGAACAAAATTAATTCATATATGGAGAGATATTTGTTCATTTATTGATGACCTTTCTTCCATTGTAACAATGGTCATCTTCTTAAAACCTTGCTCATATGACCAAGGTGGCTGAACTTCATTATTTCTATTGTTCCTCCAGTCCTTCGAGATATCCTGAGGATATGACTGAGAACAAACACAGTGACCAATTTTTCAAAAACTGCTGACCAGTTATTAAATAAGACTAACCTGGAAGTTCTGAGGCAGGAATATTCTGCCTGTACTGATAAGCCAGCTCACGGAAGTTATGCAGGCCACAGCAGTAGCACAGGACAACATTTGTTGTGACATGATAATCTGTTTTAAAAAAAAAAAAAAAAAAAAAAAAAAGAGGTAAAAGCAACACAATAGTCCTTGATGGAATTAAACCCATGTTTTCTGATAAGCTTGTACAATTAAAAATTATTCCAATTTATTAAAGACTGGACAATGTCAAAGCAGGAGCTATTACCACCTTTTCCTTTCATTGGAAATTTCCACTTATTGTAATCACCACCCACCACATGGATTAAACAACGACCATGATTGCTCTTTTATCTAATACATATGACTGCCATTCAGATGGTAAAGTACTGCTGAAAAATTCAAAGAAAAATATGCATTCTGATATTAAAGTGGATCCAATTTAAATGTTGCTGTGGTCACTTACTCCAGCTAATATCACTGCAAAATTGCATTATAGTTGAGTGTCAAGAGTGGACAAATAAAGGTTAAAGCTCATCTGTTGAGTATGATTGCACTATCAGATGAGATGTTAAACTGAGGTTCGCTCTGTCCTATCAGATGGAAGCACAAGGTACTGTGGCACATATCAAATAGCAAGGGAGGTCTCTCAAGTATCCTGGCCAATAACCATCTGTAGTGTATGATGCCTGAAATAACACCAAAACCAATCATTAAGGCTAATTGGACAACAATAAGCATTTGATGGAGAACGGAAAAGTACTGAGAACAGGCTGTTTTGCAAGGTGGCCTTGTGTGGGAATAGACTGTTTTCCAGGAACACCTGGTCTTGCTTGGGAAGGTACTCGAGAGGCAATATAGCACATAACATCAAATCCCATATACTATTAATATCGGACTTCACTGTTGGGCTGGGTTCACAACTGGTGCTGTGGTAATTAATACTGAGCTCCAAGTGCCAGCTGTCACAAGGTGCTCTAACATGTGATTCATTTGTTTTGAATATGTCTAAGTGCTTTAAGCAAATCACTTTAAGCTAATAAGTCATTTTTAATATATATTAAGTAATTAAAGCTAATAAATCTTCATTATATCAAAGTGCATGTGTCTCCTTGTATTCATTTTGGTCAGACTTTAACAAACCAATTAAGGCACTTCACTATCCCTCAATCAACATCAATAAAATAGAGATAGCAGGAACTGCAGATGCTGGAGAATCCGAGACAACAAGGTGCAGAGCTGGATGAACACAGCAGGCCAAGCAGCATCA